ACGCAATTCTCATGGATTGGAAATGGGAAAGATAGCGTTCATGCTACAGTCACTGGAGGAGCAGGGAAAGCCACCATTGTCCCGTTTAGTTGGCAGGGGCCGGCAAGTCAGGTAATGCTCTTAATTTTATGTTAATTTAAGAGATTTTCAATCTTCATTTCTTAGAATTGAGCCACCGTGTGATGGAATGATAAGCGACGGAACAGTTGGTCTGGGTTCTGCTCAAGTCAGCCAGCAAGGTCAGCTTTTCACCTATCTTCTCATTAGGGTGGTATCAAGGCAGTAGAAGTAAAATGGATGAATAGGGTCGTGCCTGGAACCAAATGTTGCCGTCAATTCGCCATCCTGTTTTATCAGTTTTTGGCCTCCGAGAAGTCCAGCGGGTGGTAGCGTAGTTGGTGGTGGCCACGCGACAGCGCGACAAAGTACGTTTCACTGAAGAATCCCGTAAAGTAATAGGACCACTACGTCGCCCCGCAGGGTGCCTCCCCCCCCCTTCAACAAAATACACTACCGCATAGCCCATTGCATCCCATGTATGTCTGTTCTTGCTAGGAAACGTTCGAATGCTTCTTATTTATGTATCCGGTTGGTAGTGTATTTTGTGGTAGGGGGGGGGGACGAGGCTTTCTGTTCGTCAGCGTTCTAACACCGATATAAAGTCTGCCAGTTATCACTTCCCAACGACCTTAGTTTCAGCTGCAGAGCGCAGATCAGCAGAAAACGATTCGGCTCCCGCTTCTGACTGCCCCTTTTCCTTGACCCATACATTAGCATCCTTGTCTACGCTTGTGATCCTGCTAATTTTAGTTCCCAGTAGTAGTTACGCCTTTTCGATGGAAGTGTCTTCCGATGACCGACCACCTGGATTATCTCGGCAGAACACGCCAAGTGAGTTTGCTTTTTTTCAGTGTCCTACCCTGCTTTTTTCGGTATCCTACGCAGAACGACTTGATAATGATTGAGATTGACGTAGCTGACTCTACAAAACACTGAGAAATGTCAACTTTATCGCTTAGACTTGTGTTCGTATTTCGAAGAGATTCGTTGCTTTTAGGCCACTCCTGCAACTCCTTTACCCTGTTGCTCCCGATGCTCACCCACGTTCGCTGCTTTCTCCAATCTCATTGGCTGTTGATCTTCGTTCCCAAATCTATTCCGTTTCAGTACGTGATATGGCAACACAAACAAATGAAGTCGTTGGTTAGTTTTGATAAGGAATTATTTGTGATTACCATGTTTTTACCCTATTTTCTCGGGTATGATATGCACAGAAGTATATGTGTACTTTGCGAATATTTCTTTCTCGTATCACATTTGCGTGCTTTTTTATGTCCTGATTCAGAATGCGTTCATTTTTTGCGACCTGGGAAAACAGCTTTTTGAAAGAATCGACGCCTCGGACGATATCCATAATATACTTTTCGGACAGTTCCCGTGCCCAAGCAACTGCGAGCGCGTCTTTCTTGTAGTCTGTAGTCTGACCTCAGTCTCCAAACATTAGACTATCCACTTTCACGATTCACAGTAGCATGGTGAATGCCATGTGCCTCGAAGGTGGGCTGTGGCCTCAAAAGTAGGTCAGTTCTGTACGATCCCTAGTTCTCTTGCCTACTGAAAGTCAAGGGCTATTTTCTATTATAAGTTCAGTTTTTTAGAGATCTGTTTTCCACTGTTAGATAGTATTAGTACTGGATAGCGCGAAAAAGAGATTAGTGAGCCAGAGGGGGCGGAATGGCGCTTTGCTGGCGTAAAACGAGCAGTTCAGGACAACTCGTATAGTGAAGCTGCCAGGGGTCCTTGCAGTGTTCTCCATGACTATCCTGCGTTTTTCTTCCTGGAGAAGCAATTGGTGACTATAGGCTCGTAATTGAATGCTACTGTCCACAATAAATCCCACTGTTTGTCTAAATGAAATACAAGTATGGGGAATATCACAAGTTTTATCAAGGAACCTATTTGAGAAGTACTTATGGAGAGATTCTCTGTAAATGGCTTTCAGCGCTGTTGGCGTGTAAAAGTGAAGATGAATGATTTAAGTTCTGCGAGGAATCGAGCTGCAAGAAGGCATCGAACGAAAACATAACGTCTCATCTGGCGAGGTGTGAAAGTGCGTTAAGCGGAAACATCGTGATTTTGTATGAGATAAGAGGAAAAATGCTCCACACATTTTCCAATAGTAGGGTATGTACACACATAGGAGTCACTGAAGCACTTTTTGCTTGACGTTTCTTAAATTCATTCAGCTTCACATTTATTCGGTCATTGGTTTCTAATTAAAGGCTCAACCTTGAGGTGTGTAATTACTTGAAGGAATCTCTGGGCGCTCTGGGCGCTTACTTATTGAGGGAAAAGAGGAAGCATTACAGGGTGGTTTTGGGTTCCTTTGCTGACTAAGGCTCAGATCGCAGGCGGTGAGAGTCGCTTGGAGGCTCTCTGCTCTTCAAGAGTACGGTACCCTGCTCAGAGACTCTCTCTCTGCTCCGCACGAGTAGCCCGGACCGTCTGCGCTCTTAGGCAATCCTTTTGTGGCAAACGTCTCATAGTACTTATGTAGCTTGAGCTTCGGGATAAGGACCCACAAGTCATGTTTTCTCTTTAATTTTCTTTCCTTCAAATGTCAAGCCGAGAAATTTGTAAACTTTGTCAATCCTCAGACTTGCTTCACGGTTCTGTTTTATGGTGTTTTATCTTTTGCTTTCTTCCATTGTTTACTTTGATTTCTTTCTTATTTCTGCCGCTTTTACCATAGATATGCAGATTCTTATTGTTTCTATTGATACCCTGTGATCATGATGATGATCGTTGATCATTCGCCTATGCGTCTTTCAGTAAATAAAAATTGGGTGGCTCTCGACTGGTGGTTTTCATCTGAACAGCTTTGAATGTCGAACTTAAAGACAGTTCCGCGCTTAACCAAAACGTAGCCTTCTTCCTTGTTCAAGGAGTCTGGTCGAGGCTGCCCTCTTTCGCGGCTTCGTGCTAAGTGACGGAGGCGCTACGATACTCATAGGTGGCATTCCAAAACTAAAAGGTTAATCTCTACCGCGAACTCCTACACAGGATTTTCGCTTTTTTTTTCTCAGGACGCGAAGAAATGATTTATGAGCCAGCGAGGTGCAGGGCAGGGCGGGAAACCCGTGCCACACTAAGGTCCCTGCGGGGGTCCTTATTTAAGGTGTTTCATGATTTTTTTTGCTCACCTTCTTTCTGGAAGAGAATGAATTAGCGTACTAAAGTTTTTTAACGGTCACTATCCACAGTATGCTATGGCGGGGTTTGTCTTTTTAACAATCGGCGTAGTTTAAGAGTTTGTGCACTGATTGTTTAGATTGTATGACCATATGTGGGACAAGGAAGCACAACGCCGTTGAACAACGCCATTCTGGTGTCACTTGTTATTCCATATGTTTTTAGTGACGTTAACATGTGCTGGAATCTCGTGCTTGGTCGATGATGTAATCGAAGGGACTTCACAAGAAGTGGAAAGATTCAAAGACAGGAAACCTGCAATGAAAGATCGCATCGTTAGGATGGAGTCTGTTTTTCGCATTTGGCACCACTTAAACTCATTGTCCCATTTCTCGAAGACTAGACTCAATTTTCGGTCCCTTGAGGGCTGGGTGCTAGATTGACTGGAATATTCTCCCCCGATTTTAAGTAGGTCAGTACATCCGAGGCCCAGCAACGCGCACAAAGCGCCTTCCTGCTATTTCATTCAACCATTTGACCTGAAGTCTACCAGTTTATAGCAACTGAGTATTGGGCAAAAGTGATCCCCAGGCGGGAGTCGAACCCGCATCCCCCGCTCACTGTGCGAGTGCGCTATCCATTAAGCCACCGAGGCCGCTATTACATTCTCAGCTCCATGGCTGTATGTGCCAAACGGATGTGGTAGTCACGTTCACGTAGTTAGCTTCCTGCAGGGACTAATTTCCTAGCCAAATTCTATCCCCACAGGCCTATTTACAATAAAAAATCTTGCTTGTATTTCGAAAAATGAGACAGTGAAGGGTAAATGGTGTCCATTTCAAAAATCAATAATCGCACTTTAAGCCATAATTTGTTTATTTTTCAGCAACGTGCCGCAAGTTTCTGAAATGGACGTTCTGGTAGCGATTTTTCCATGCGAGGAAATCGTAAATCTGAGTCACTACTATCAGGTAATTTGCATTATTGAGCTACACATTTGATATTTATATTTTAAAACTTTGCAGATGTTGGGTCTGGAAGAATGCGTGAAACTGTTCGTGGAATTAGGAGCTTACATAGATTGGTCTGCTTCCGTGATTGAGGTTCCTTGGAGTTTTGTGTTGTGTGTACAGTCTTGACAGCGCAAACGATAGGACGTGTGCGGGGGCGTGGGGCAGACCATTTTCACTCACCTGATCCAATGCTGAACTCGCTATAATTGATGGGAAGGCTGTGTCTTGGCTGCGCTCCATTCCCGTCATACACCCTATCGTTTGCAGGGACCGGGAGCGTATTCAGTGCTGTAGATGAATTGCTCTTGTTCAGGGTGCATTTGTTGAAGAGTTCACAGCAGCTGAATTAAGTGCGACTCGTTCCCATGCACCGCCACCTATAACCAACTGGCAGAGGCTCGCTGATCAAGAGGATATGAAAGGTACTGGAATATTTCTGGGATTTTAAATAGGGTTGAGTAGTGGCAACTGGCGCGTCTCTCCTCATGCGCGATCGTGGGATAGAACTCAGATCGTATTCCGCCTGAACCAACCAGTGCGAAACAAGGGATGAAGAAAATTAGCCATGTCGAATTGTAAGAGAAACGAGTGAGATGGCTTCTTTATCCTTCATTCACGCAAACCACTTTATTGGGTCCATTCTTTTCCAAAGGGCGGAGGTGGTGTACAGGCAAGTAACCTGCATACCGCGCCTAGTCCGGGGATCAGATCCCGTATCAGCCGTCGAACCTTCTACCCTGATTCGTCTGGGAAAATAGAAACACTCGCTCGTATATCGGCTGGCCCCATAAGTCAGTCGGAGGCTATACTGCATTCAATGAACTACTACGATACTGAATGAAACTGGAATCCATGGCGTATCCCCCAAAGGGATCGATCCGCCAAAAGTGTCATACTTTCTATCTTTTCGAAAAGACAGGCATAAGAGTAGTCCTTT